TAAATACTTTGTTTGATGGAGGAAGAGACCTGTGGAAGATCGTTGAATCTCTAAACCCAGGAAGTAGTGCAGTGGACCCAAATCCTTGACTGGAAAAATATCACTGAGATTTTGAATGAAGAGACTGCATAAGGAGTCAGGTCCAGTGACTAAGATATCATCGACATACACAAGCACCATGACATGAGTAGGACCAGGGAGAACAAATAAGGAAGCATCAGAGGAAGATTGCTGAAAAACCAAGCTGAAGAAGAGCTTGAAACAGTTTGTCAAACCAAGCCCGAGGGGCTTGTTTGAGACCATAAAGGGATTTCCTTAATTTGCAGACATGATGCGGCATAGTAGGATCAGAGAAACCGGGAGGCTGCTGCATGTACACATCTTCCTTCAAATCACCATGAAGAAAGGCATTACTGATGTCTAACTGATTTAGAAACCAATTGAACTGCACAGCAAAGGACAAAAGGATTCTAATTGTGACTGGTTTAGCCACAGGACTGAAGGTCTCTTGAAAATCGATACCTTCCTGCTGATGATACCCCTTTGCAACTAAACGAGCTTTAAAGCGCTCAACAGTACCATCAGGTTTCTTCTTGATTCGGAACACCCACTTGCAGCCAACCACATTGTAGGAGGAAGATGGAGGAACAAGGGTCCAGGTGCCTGTTGATTGTAATGCATTAAACTCATCTTGCATGGCAGATCTCCAATGAACATGTTTAGAGGCTTGCAGATATGTAGTTGGAATAAAGTCAATATCAGATGGAAGAGGATGTTTGGTAGCTGCATAAACTTTGGGCTTGAAGATACCAGCTTTGGAGCTAGTGATCATAGGGTGAGTATTGGAAGGGGGCAGTGACATAAGTGTTGCAGGGGAAGATACAGATGCATTAGTCAGAGAATCTGTACTTGGAGCAGCAGTAGGAGAAATGGACTCTTGAGTATGGCCAACGTGTCCAGGAGGAACACCAGTATGCTGAGGAACAGAAAACTGCAGATCCATGGGAGCGATAACAGAGTCTGAAGACAGAACAGGGATGGTAGGAGAAGACTGAAAATGATATGTTGCTTCATCAAACTGCACATGTCTGGAAATATAGAGACGATTAGTGACTGGATCAAGGCATCTATATCCTTTGTGCTGCAAACTGTACCCGAGAAACACACAGCTTTTGCTCTTAGCGTCCAGCTTGGAATGAGTGTAAGGTTTGAGCCACAGGAAACATCGACAGCCAAAGACTTTGAGTCTGGAGTAATCTGATGGCTTGAAGAAGAGTAATTCCCAATGAGATGTAGAAAGGCCAGAGATTGGCAACCTGTTAATAAGATACACAGCCGTGGAAAAAACGTCCACCCAATAAAGATGTGGAACATTAGAAGCAACAAGTAATGTACGGGCAGTTTCCACAATATGGCGGTGTTTTCTTTCAGCACAGCCATTTTGTTCAGGAGTGTGAGGACATGTTAATCGATGAAGAATACCATGAGTGTGAAGAAAAGACTCAAACTTAGCACCAATGAATTCACCCCCTGAATCGGACTGCACAACTTTGATTTTATTTCCAAGTAGATTTTCTACATATTGTTTGAATACAACAAAAGTAGAATAGGCATCAGATTTTGCCTTTAATGGAAATAACCAACTATATCTACTGTAATCATCTACAAGCAACAAGTAGTACTTAAAGCCACTAGGAGAAGTGATAGAGGCAGGACCCCAAATATCACAGTGTAGTAGTTGAAGACTGTGAGTACTTGTAGAACTGGCAGAACCAAAAGGAAGCTTGTGACTTTTAGCTAAAGCACAATCTGAGCAGAAAAGATCACCAGCAGGTTTGCCTTGCACGACAAGCTTATTTCCTGAAAGAACCTTGCGAAAAATAGAAGAAGATGGATGACCCAATCTTCGGTGCCAAATCTGTACAGGAGCTTTGACACTTATTAAAGCCGAGGGTGATGAGGAGGTGGGAGGACTAGAGCCTTGAAGAGGATAAAAGCCATCTTCAACTCGTCCCCGCAAAAGCGTCTTCCCCGAAACTCGATCCTTTACAGTGGATCCATCAGGGTCAAGAGTCAAGGCACAATTATTATCTTTTAAAAATTGATAGGCAGATAATAAGTTGTGTTTCATAGCAAGTACATGTAAGACATTACGCAACTTAAAGGAAGTATTAGATGTATCTAAAGAAGAGATACCAATATTGTGAATAGGCAGACCTTTACCATATCCTATATAGACCTTGTCTTCACCAGTGTAAGGAGAGGCAACAGAGAGATTTGCAATGTCATTCGTGATATGTGAGGTGGCTCCAGAATCCAATAGCCAAGATGGGGATGGTTTGGATGAGTAGTGAGCACAAAGAGCTGCAAGTTTGGCTGGTGGCACCCGTCCAAAGATCTCAGGGTTCATCCTGTCAAAGCAATCAATTGCTTCGTGGCTGGTGGAACCACATATTTGACAGGTGGTCTTGTGATTTGATGAAGAACCTTGGTTGTGAGATCGGGAGCCTTGATGAAAGGCACGAGGCTGACTTGTACGATAAGTACCAGTGGAGTTGCCACGTGAATTACTGACATTTCGATTGCCTCTGAAAAAATTACGATTGTTCCGGCCTCTATTAGAATTGTACCGAGAAGAAGAAGAGGCTGACTATATGCAGCAAACGCCTGTGAAGAAGGCGTTGGGAGCAAAGGTGCTTGAGACTGAACATAGAATGCTTGAAAGGGCTCCGTAGCAGTGGTGGACAGAGTGTGCTTTCGACGAGCCATGGAAAGCTCTTTGGTCAGCAACAGACCATGCAATTCATCAAGAGAAGTAGAAGACAATCGCAGCATGATGGAGTCAATGAATGACTCGAATTCATCAGGAAGACCGTGAAGCGTTGCAGCAATGAGATCACGATCAGATACAGTGGCGCCAGCAGCATTGAGAGAATTCGAAATTTCCTTGATTTGCTGTAGATATTCCGAGATCGATTGAGAGCCTTTTTGAATCGATTGAAGACGAGAACGAAGCTGGTGAATATGAGCTTCAGAGACGCCACCAAAGCGTTGTTCAAGTTTCTGCCAAAGTTCTCGAGATGTGGACACCCCTACCGTGAAGGGAATGAGATCTTCGGATAAAGTCGAGTTGAGCCAAATCAAGAGGTTTTGATCTTTTTCAAACCACTGCTCAAATGCTGGATTCAGGGAGCGATCAGGGAGAAGGGGAGCATGACATGGCTCAGTACCGTCGACGAGGCCAAGAAGTTTGTATCGGCGCAAGATCGGAGCAAATAACGCACGCCATGGAAGGTAATTAGTGCGTTTGAGCTTGATTGGCACCATGCTACCAATATTCTGGATCGTAAGAGACATATACGAGTTTTGAGGATTTGCAGAGAAATTAGGGTTTGGCGACGGAGACGAAGAGTCAGAGGGGGAGGCCATGATATACAAGCGCAAGATGCGAGATAGAAGGAAGAATCAAAGACAGAAAACACAAGATCGATCACGAAATCGATCAAGAAATCGATCGAGAAAGAGAGAAATCGATCAAAAAATCACCAAATCAACGAACTTGTAAGAAAACTCAGATGTATCACCGACTCAAAATTGAAAGAAATTGTAGACAAAAAACACCATGATAGATCAAGAACAGTGATCAGAATACCAAATCAACGAAGAAATCTGATCAATTTGAACAGAAATCAGAGAAGTAGAGCGGAAGAAATGGAGGATCGAATGCCGGAAGGCTTTTGGCGATGAAACCATGTAGAAAATGTTAAAGAAGATATTTCTCATTCATATTTTAATTGACAGTACACAGAGATATATATAGTCACAAAGACTCTTTACATAAGTGACCTTATCTTCTACAACTAATTACACAAATACCACAACTAACTATTTACTGTTGTAACTAAATTGTGACTGGTTTAGGTCTCTCAATAACAACAACTCCCCGTGGATTCATAAATTACTACTAAATCTGATTGGACAAACAAAGAGATTCAAAGAGAGGGTGGGAGGAGAGGGAGATGAGGGAGAAAGAGGAGAGAGAGAGAGAGCAGAGAGAGATTCGGGAGAGAGCAGAGAGAGATTCGGAGGGGAGGAGAGAGACAGATAGAATAGAGATAGAGAGTTAGAAGGATTGGAAGTGAGAGGACGAGAGAGAAAGTAGCGGGTTTGGAGTTAAAAACTTTAAAAACTCACTTTTTGTGTTTTTCTAGAAGTAGGCTAATTTTTAAGTTAGTTTTGAGTTCTGTTTTAAAAACAGCCCCACCAAAAAAGTATTCAAGCTGTAAAACCTAAAATGTGTTTTTGAGTCTAAAAAATTGGATTCAAGTTTAGTACCCAACATGCCCTCATTCATCTATGTAATTATCATTTTCATAATGAATTGCTCATAAAGTAATGCATATCAATAACTAAACAATCTCCATATATTTTTGGTTGCAGAAATAATGTTAAAATGGAATCGTAGTCATCCAACTAATTAATTGGTTTCACTCATGAAACAAAAAAACTAATTGATTCACTCCTTCTCTCTATTGTTTAATTACCTATTATTAATTAACTAATACCATGCATTCACGTCACCAGAAATTACAGCGATTTCATTCATTAGTCAAAGTTAACAATTATCAATTAAATTAGAACATGCACCAACTGTTAATCCTTTATCATGATATATTCTATAAGTAAGCTAGCTAGGCCTCCTATCGACACAAACAAAACACACACACACAAAAAAAAAAAAAAAAAAAAAAAACACACGCAAAAACAAATTAAAAAAACGGCACCATGTGCAAATAAATAAATATGAGACAGAGAGTGAGACACATGTTTTACAAGTTTAGGTATTTTTCTGTTGAGCAAATCCAATATTTAATTAATCCCGCACCTCCCACTAATCATGAATTAATCCCATTACAATATGGTCTCTTACTTGCGTCATCTCCTTCGTCACACAACCTTATTAATATGGTATTTCGCACTTTTTTTCACGGGAGGGGTTTCTGTTTGTGGGTTGCATTCCCTTTCCACTACCCAGATAAATCAGTCCTATAATATCCTTCATCCTGAGCCAGACATTCCCAGCTGACTCCATGCAAGGCAAATAAGTAAGACTACTATTCTTTCTCTCCATCCCATTAAGTTTCCTTGTTTGAAAATGCAATATTCTAAATGAGGAAGAGGAAGGGGCCGGATGGATACACTGTCATGTGGTGGAAGCTGTTCCTCCTTTCTCTCTTTCCTCAACCGTTTTATACATATAGAGAATAGTCATAGACTAGAGAAATTCTACTGTGCTCGCGGCACCCAAACCACGTCTCCGTGTGGACACTAGACACAAAAAATACCCTTTGATTTTTTCATGTTCACCCAATCCTATTTGTGTCTCACTCTTCTCTTTCTCACAAGAGGTTCTTGTGTGAGGCCACCATTGGTGATGGACCATAGGTATCGTGTGAGAGGAAAATGAGATACAAATAGAGCCGGCTCGAACAGAAAAAATTCGGGAGGGTAGGCCACGGGTATTTTTATGTGAGTGTGATGTAGGGAACCCGTGGTCTGATTTCCCTACAGTACTAGAGTTTCTCCATAGACTTTTTTTTAAAATTTTTTTTTTTTTATCGAAGAGCTTGTCCATAGACTGAGAGCATAAGCTTTGTGGCCCCACAACCCACCTCCATTAACTTTCTCCCTGATAAGTTAATGATTTTGTGTGGATCACTTAACTGTTGGTAATAATAATACTCGTGTGTTAATTGATTATGTTTGAAGGTCATTTACTCTAGATTTATGGCGGATAAGATTCCGAGACTGGGTGGCAACCATTTCATGGCTGATATAAATCCAGCAGATTCGATGGAGAGGAGGACTTCTATGGAAAGACCAAGTGAAAATCAAGAAATTATGATTTCCAACTCCAACAAAAATTCCACTGCTGAAACTACATACCAGTATGTGCAACCTTTCCTAGCTGACTAGTTATTTCCATATATATTTATGTATATATTCAATATTAATTTGCAGTAAAATATGATGATGAAGTAGTTTTATCGAGTTTCATAAATTTGCATGGATGGTGATCAGGATTTTCGCGGGTTCCTGGAATGTTGGAGGTGTTTCACCTCCAGATTATTTGGACATACAGGGTTGGCTCCGACCTAATAATATTAAACCTCCAGCTAATATCTACGTCCTCGGGTAATTTATCTTAATTCTCTTTCCTTATCTGTACGGTATTTATTTGATCATACGTGCATGTCTCCATGCACGTACCGCAGCTTGATGCATACAGCATGATCATTAGTTCTGAATGAATGAATTAACGAATTTCAGGTTCCAAGAAATTGTACCACTGAATGCAGGAAATGTTGTGAGATCTGAAAACCGCAAGGTTTGTGAGAAATGGAATTCGTTGATCGGAGCAGCTCTTAACGATAAGAAGAATAAGCTTACAGAAGATGAAGAAGAAGAAGGAGATTTCCGATGCATCATCAGTAAGCAAATGGTTGGAATATTTATATCTGTTTGGCTTTCAAGTGATCTCTGCCAATACATAAGACATCTCAGTGTCTCATGTGTTGGCTGTGGTATCATGGGCCGCCTAGGGAACAAGGTACACAACATTTATCCATTCACTGTAAATAATTATTAATGAATTAGATCAATTATTCAAATTGTATTTTATTTCACAATTTGTATGATTAATTATTATCGTGTATATGTACATGCAGGGTTCAGTGTCAGTGAGATTTTGGTTGCTTGAAACAAGCTTCTGTTTTGTGTGTAGCCATCTAGCTTCTGGAGATAAAAAAAGCGATAAGAGACGAAGAAATGCAAACGTCACTGAGATTTTGTCTCGAACAACCTTTCCTCCTGGACCCTTCACTAATTTGACCACAAAAATTCTTGATCACGAGTACGTATATACGCATATTATGCAGCATCCCCTAAACTAGTTTGGTACTCTTTCTAAATTTAATTTTTGCTTTTGAAACTAATGAGTACTAAGTAATATATATGCTTATACATATGCAGTAGGGTGATTTGGCTTGGAGACCTAAACTACAGAATCTACCTGCCTGACGCCACAACGCAGGATCTTGTGGAGAAGCAAAAGTGGAAGCTTTTGTTGGAATATGATCAAGTACTTAATTTACATTTCACTTGTGTAATTAAAGAGATTCTGTTTCTATGTGAGGAGAGTTAATTTACATGGAACTCGTACAGGCGTTTTGGACCAATAACACCATGTTATGTAGAAAGAGAGACTTTTGCACGACGTTGTGATATTAACATGAAATGCAATGGTGGCGTTGTATATGTTTCATGAGTATTTCTTGTGTGTTGAGTTAGTTGCTAGTTTAATATTTTATGAACAAAAAAGTTATTTGATTTTTTTTTTCTTTCTTAAAGCTTAAGACGGAGCTCATGGAAGGACATGTATTCGAAGGTTGGCAGGAAGGAGAAATAAACTTCGCTCCTAGCTACAAATATTACCCGAATTCGGGACTGTACTTTGGCCGTGATCACAAGAGAAAACACAAAAAAAGGCGTGCTCCGGCGTGGTAATTAAGCTTCATAACTGCTTGTTAGTGATAACATACTGCAAAACCAGATTAATGTACTAATTAAAGGAGGGTTTTGTAGGTGCGATCGAATACTATGGTTCGGGAAAGGACTCGAGCAAAACCAGTACGAAAGAGTAGAATCAAGACTATCAGACCACAGACCCATCCGGGCAATTTTTATGGCAGAAATTGAGGTGTTGAGAGCTCCTGAAGGACTTCATAGCTTTTTGTCAGACAATTTTATATGCTTGCCAAACGATTTCGATGAATGTTTCTGTGACAAAATATTCACGTAAACGGAGATCAAGCTTCCATTATTTAGCATAAACTGCTATCACTCTGCTTTTATCACAAGAAGATTCGAAACTAAAACAAAATCAAAGCAAATGAAAGGAAAGTAACAAAATTCTCATTTCTCAAGCTGCCATTGCAGTGAAACTCGTTGTCTATTTAAAGGAAATACGTAGCTAATTGCGGTTTATGCCCCCCTTATACATAATAGTATCAAATGCGTAGCGTATATTGATGGTATTTAGCCGACATTTGAGTCTCAACAAAACGAACGCCGCAGGTTTTCATCTCAACGTGCACCGACACTAATAGCAAATTCAAAAAATAAGCAAACTTAGCGAATGAATAAGCATGTACAGAGAAAAATAAGACTACGTACATAAAACAACCGTCATGCAGCAAACTTAGCTAATTGCAAATAGCTTCAATTGGTGAGCACGAAATGCAATTACTACGCTGTGATCAGAAGAACTAAACGCAATAGTTTCTTTCTAAATTGTGCAATTGCAGGTGGTTTTGCACAGGAGAGAAAAGTTATGCTAGACTGCTAGTGATTCTGTGAGTTCAAGATTAATAATCCTGAACATATTGTAGCAACTAAATTACTATAATTAATGCATTCTGCTGGAACTGTATTATCCACTCCAGTACCTCAATAGCTGGATTCTGCCCTTTGGTGAAGAGTGTCGAGTTTACCACCTTGTTAAACCAGATGAACCTCCTCAAGTGGTTCCTGATATTCATAATCATAAATGAAGAAGGAAAAAAAGATGAATGACAGTGCGTATGTATATACGAAGCAAAGTACAAAACCCATCCTGCAAACGGACACCAAAGACAATAGGAATAAGATCCAATGCAGAGTATTATTGCTTAAAACAGGATATCTTTGAAAATGCTTGTATCGCATTACAAATCAAGCCCATTCTGACCTGGTTGAAACAGACACATACCTCCAAGATAGCTTTAGCCTCATCACTGAATGCTTTGCAAAGAATTTCATAACTCTTCTCAATCCATATCTGTACAAACAATAAACTCGTTAAGAAGACATAGTGAACAAAATGGTGCAGGTCTTCTCTGTAATTCAGCCACTGTAGGTGGTTCGTTAATAATCCCTTACCAATGGATCAACTCGTGATGGTGATATAGTTGATATAATGTATCTGTTGAAAGCAAAAGAAATCTGATCATTCGATAAACAAGCATCATTATAAATTTTGTGGGACAAAGCACCATGATGTCATAACGAACTAAACTTTAAAAATGAAGCAAAAACTTTCTGTTTTCAACAAATTATTGGAAATAGTGCTATTAAAATAACTCTTATGACTAACACTACATGGAAAAGAAAAGTATAAAGGCACTACAGTTCTTCCAAATGCAAGAGCTGGTAAGCATGAAGGAGAAAAATAAATCTTTTCCTTCATAGCAGCATTGCTCTAGAAAACTGAAACTCTTACACATCATGGATGAAAAACTCTTTTACAAGTTTCATTGTTTTAAGTCCTTCGAGTAATATACACAAGCGAAAAGTTTACCTCATCTTACTTAAATAGAAATTCATGGCTACCGAGTTTGATTTATGAACAGTTAGAACGACAGCACCCATCTGGTTCTACAAAGATGGAAAATGCTAGATTAATTGCCGAGATGACACTAAGAACAATAAACATGGAATGCAGATAAGTTGTTTTAAGAATCATATTATCAAGCCATCAGACATTCTCCTTCCATCTAGCTTTTAAATACATGATTAAAATGGGAGATGGGACAGAATCAGGCACCTTGCGAGCAATTAGCTCAATTAGTTGCATTAGGAACTTTCCCAGACCTTTCCCTTGTACGTGAGGCTCGAGTTGCAATTCATACACGTAAAGTACAGGCAATTCTTCCTCTATGACAAATCGAAAATGTACAAACCCAACCATGGGCCCCCTCTTCTCCACACAACTAGCTGAGGTACTTTCTTGCTCCGACATTGTTGACATTTCACTAGCACTTGCATTTGAAGCCTCACGTACAAATATATAACGTGCTTCAGGTGCAACCATCTCCCTGCGCTTCACCCTCTCTTCCACTGGCCACTCAGATCCATACAGCCCCTCCATATTGGCCTAATCATTTCCCGAAACTTGAATAACTTTTGCCCGAAAAGAGTAAATAAATCAAACTAGAGCACTATTTGGCGGAGTTACGAAAGAACAACAGACAGATTACTTCAAATACCTTAAGAAGATTTTGAATGTAATGCTTAACAGAAGACGCAAGCTTGTCCCCGCGTCCTGATTCCAAAAATGCAGATAACCCTAAACATCCAATATAGCATTAAGCATTACACGAACTTTTGTCTGCCAAATAAAATTTCGAGGTATTTGAACTCGAAAACCAAGCAAGACTGACTGCATTATCACCAAGAAACTTCCTAACCATCTACACTGAGACGACCACAAGCTCATCACTTTCATACAAAACCTGAAAAACCCGAAAAGGAGATGCTTCCAAACGTATAAAAAACATGAATTTGCAACAGAATTCGGTTTCAATTCCCATAAAATGTGAGGTACTGCAGCAAATTAACAAAATCTTCAAACGAATTGTGAAAAAAATGGCATGTCAGATAAGATGTGAGAAAGAGAGTACCGTTTGTTTGGTAACGGCGAAAGGCAGGGAAAGCAGAAAGATGGTCCTTTTCAGCAGAAGCTGCTTTTAACAGTGCATCCATGGCCTTCTTCTTCTCGATTATCTGAAAATCCAGAATTAAATTGCACAATTAACGGTTGCGATTGCTTGAAACTGTAGGGAAAGAGTGTGATCTTACCTCTTTGCGGCTCCGATTGGGCTTGCTTTCTCTGTTAGCATTGAGCCCCTTCGTCTCCATTGGCGCTCCAATCATCACTCTTCACTCTCCGTTCGGGATTCTGCAAACCAAGCTGCGAACTTTTTTCTTTTCTTTTATTTATTTTAGTGATAAGGAAAGCTTAATTTTTTTTTCCCGTTTAAATTTCAAGTTTATTTTTGTTGGATATTAATTCTCAAGTTGAAAACTTTTTTCTTCGAACAAAATTAAAGTTGAGAACTTTGATCGTAAAAAAAAAGTCGAGAACTTTGATCAATGACTATTTGTTAATTATTTTGACAATTACCATCCTAAATAGATAATTAGGAGGAGATAAATAAAAAAAGAAAAGTTTGGCAATGGTTATTGATTTATATTCGAGCTAGTCTATTCCTATTTATCATTTTATTCATTGTCGCAGCTTGACTATCTTTAATAGCTTGCAATTCAATTTAATTCAAGACTTTGAAAACTTTAATTTATGTTAGTTAGTGCCGTCGTTAGTTATTATGTCAAATTCAGGGTTTTTTTTTGTCAACTTCGTATAGTATAAGCTTTTGAAATTGTTGTAAATGTTTAAGTTTAGGGTCTATTTTTGTTTTCATTTTGTTTGGTGTTCTGTTTTCATTTTGTTTGGTGTTCTTTTAGTTTATAAAATGAAAACTAAAAATCCAAAATTGAAAACTAATTCCTTGAGTTTTCAAAGCCACCGATATAGTTTAAACTCAAACCGTCATATAAAAACTCAACATATTTCCATCACTATAATAAAAGACCACTTGCAAATTGAATTTTCCACTTTTTAATTTTCATCTTTTAAACAACTGAGTTAATAATTATCATATAAAAAAGTTAGGAAAATTAATGAAAATTGCTTGAAAACTTTGAGTTTTAATGATAAGGACAAAATAAAGGGTAAAGTGAATAGTACCATGATTGACTTTTTAGTGTAAAAATGTGGTTTTTCGTTAAAATGAACAGTACCAGGTGCTTTTCGTTAAAATTTCCTATAAAGTTTCAAATTTTAATTAAAAAAAACCTAAAAACTGAAAACGAGATAATTATCGGAGCAAAAGCTCAAAACCAAAAGGACGGAAAGAACAAAGTTGAAGTGGATCCAAAATTCAGAAATAACGCTAAAGTGGATAGAACTTCGAGTGGCAGAGAGGCAATTATCGAAAAGAAGGAAGGGCAAAATGATAAAAACAAAGCAACAAAATTTCTTGCTCGGACAAGCAAGCAAACCATCAAGCCGCACTCCCAACTCTTCTTTCTCAAAAGCAAAAGATCTCTCTCTCTCTCTCTCTCTCTCTCTCTCTCTCTCTCTCTCTCATCACTCATCACACACACAGAGTCCATATATATCCATCCATATTCCCAGCACACAGATATCGAGAGCCCCACTCCACCAATACCACCCACTCTCTCTCTCTCTCTCTCTCTCGCTCCGGTTCATGCAAACCACTGATACATAGCTAGGGTTTCATCCTCCTCCGTCAATTCATCGCGATGGCTTTTCACGGCAAGAAGCTCATCAACGACCCCAACGGTGAGCCAATTCCTCCCCCTCACTCTTGCATTTTCTTCTCCGATCATTCTCTCTGCTCTTCCTTGTGATTGTCGCTGAATTAAATTTTTTTATTATATAATTTTTAGTAATTTCCGAGTTAAATCAGATGAAATGCGAAGAGAAATTGATTTTTTTTTTTTTCACTGAGAGAGTTGTGAATTTTTCGTATTGGTGGTTGCAGATGTGGTGACTGAGTTCATCGAAGGGCTTGTCGAGACGTATCCTGGGCTGCAGTACTTGGATGGTTTCCCTCAGGTCCTTTTTGTTTCCTTCTGCTCTGTTCGTCTGTGTTAATTTGTCAATACCGTAGCTTTATGTGTAAACTTAATTTATTTGATTTTCGGAATTTCGTAAATGGGGATTGCAGGTGAAGGTTGTGTTGCGTGCTGATGTTTCCGGTAGGACGTATGACAAAGTTGCGATTATATCAGGTTCGATACCCGGCAATTACTTTTTTATTGATTCCTATGAAAGCCTGCATTGCATTTGTATACTGTATTAGATTTAGAAGAGTGTTTTCACTTCAAAATTAGAAAATTTTTATATTGGCGTTGGACTTTGTTTACTGGATTAGAATTAGAAGAGTGTTTTTCACTTCAAAATAGAA